TCCGAATGGCATGGCGTTTCCCTCGATACCACTGGTCTTTCAAACAGCATATTCAAGGTTCGGCATTGGGTCCTTGCTATTTATGGCGACGGCATGACTTCCCTTTTTCCAGGACGATATATCGGCCTCCTTCCTCGCTTCACATTTTGTCACGGGACGACAGTCAAAGGCAACAGCCCGGCATCTTGACTGCCTGTACTGCATCCTCCGATTCATACTCAGTCTTTCCCTGCTGGCCACTACCGGCACAACATCCATCCGTTGCTGTTTCGGTCTGGTGAGCAGGATATGTTTCTGCGGCAGAAGCCGCAAGCAGCGCCAGCCCTTGGAGGTATTTCTATCAAATGCCTACCAGATTGGCGTTGTCAGGTAGTTTATCAGGGGGGTCAATGGATAGCCCCGGCAACCTCTTTGGATGATGGAGGATCAAACCACCTTCCAGAAATATGGCAACACAATAACCACTAGTGGTGCGGTCTTCTGAATCAGTTCCTTAGGACTTGGATAGCGTGGGTGGGAAGGCGTTACGGGTAAGCTCAAGAGCACATATTCCGAGCCGTGGCGGATGATGTACGTATCGTTATGAGAGTTATCAACTATAATGTTAAGGATTTACGGTCTTCAGCTATTGTCGACAGCATCGCAGTGCAGGTGAATGGCGATGACGTACCAAAACATAACTCTGGAGGCTGAGCGACTAAGCTTGATGCCTGGCTGTGCGTATATAAACTATAATCCGGATATTCGACTGGAAATCATCCAAAGTTACTGGCAAGGCGCGCAACCGGGTGCGATTTTGTTGGCATTCAACCACTAGGTGGGTAGTCACGGGTTGAACTTTTTGATCGGTGGCGTCAGACAACTCCATATGTTCCATTAGACGTCTATCTACAGCCAACAATACATAGCTTTTGGTTTTGACCTCCTTCAGTCCCGACGGGTATTTGCTCCTCCGCCCAGCGCCTCTTCAACCAACTTTGCGTCACACTAGCCATCTAGTCTTATCCACTGCCTACTTATTGGACATGGACTTTCTCCTGTTCTTTCCAGGCCGCGTCTTGGTGACCCTGCCCTTGGCAACTCCGCCCTTCATACGCTTGGCATTAAACCCGCTGAGGTCGCCAGAGCTCATGGCATCCCCTGACTTAGAGTGGCGCTTCTTGCCACCAAAGCCATACTTGTCGTTCTTCTTTTGCCGCTTGGCATTGACGCCGCTTCCGCTACCCCGGGGTCCGTCCGTCTTCGAGTTTCGGTGGCCCTTGAGTTCATTGTCGACAGCCACGTCGAAGAGGTCGCCCTCGTGGGTATCTTGGTTACCACCGCCTTCCTGACGTTCTAGATAAGAGAGACCGGTAAGTAACGTGTTTGCATGGGCATGTGGCGATGATGGTGGTAGCGATTGGGGGTTGGATGGAATGGGGGAATGGGCTTACTCCTCTTAAGAGTCTTGATCTTCTCAAGCGTGTCCCTCTTAGCTTTTTGACGCTCCTGCAACTTGGCAACTTGCACCTGCTTGCCGAACTTTTTCAGATCCCTGAGCTTCCTGGCCTCGGCGGCAGCCTTCTTGTTGCTAGCTTCCTCGATAAGCTTGTCCTTGATCTTCTGCATCTGGCCATCGTCCTTCGCCATTTCGGCAAAGTAGTCACTCGGGCGCGAGAATGGAACGCCCTCTTTGAGAAGAAGGGTGCGACCCTTGCGCGCGGCCTCGAGGGCTTGGGAAAGCATGGCGAGTTCGCGCTGCAGGTCGTCCTGGACGTCCGGGACGGACTCGGCGGTAGGCTTGGACGATGTTATGGACTGGTGGGTTGCGAAAGGTGCGGCGGCCGAGGTGTCGATGCGAATGCGGTTGAGGGAGGCAAGAAGAGCGGCCTTGTTGTTGATGGTCAGCTTGGTGTGGGGGACGATGTCCTCGAGGTCTTCATCGTCGCCTTCGATATCGGAGAGAGGCACGTCGTCCTCCTCCAGATCCTCCTCGTCTTCTTCATCTTCTTCGTCCTCGTCCTTCTCTTCAACCTCTGTTGGCGTCTTCTTGTTGGTCTTGGTCTTCTTTGCAGGGCGTTCAACCTTCTCCATCTCGACCTCGGAGTCGGATTCGCTGTCTGTGTCGTCCAGCGCTTCAATATCCAACTTCCAGAACATTAGCCACCTGTTAAATACTCAAACACACACACACAAAAAAAAGGGGCGGACGAAATGAAGGGGGTCGCCTTGACTAGCAAGAACTCACTCTGTCCTCTTCCTCGTCTTCCTCCTCGTCTTCCTCCTCGTCTGAGTCGGCGTCCTCAAACTCGGCGTTCAGCGCGATCCCACCCTCGATAGAGATGGCGTCGTCTTCGTCCTCCTCGTCCTCCATCTCCTCGTCGGAACCATCTTCAGCCTCCTGGCCGTTGAGCTTGGCCTTCTTGGCCTTCTTGGCCTTCTCCTTCTCGGCCTCGCGGTGCTTCGCCTTGATCTTGCGGTCCAGCTTCTTCTTTTGGAAATCGACCCCCTTGTCGGCCGCAAGGGCAAGCTTGAGCTTGGATTTCGTGACCATTTTTTCTGTCTGATTTCGGCGCAATCGTTTAAAGGTTGCTGTTTGGAGTTGCACCTTTCGCTCGACAGGCGACGCGGACAATGTGGGGAGGGTCCTGGCAAAGGAGGAAAAAAAAAGTCGATGCGATGAAAATTCTGCCGCCTCTGGTGGCCCACTTACGGAGGGCGGTCAGCGCTTTATGGGTCACATAATGCTGCACAGACACTAGTGTCTGTCGGCAACGATTGATCAGAACAGCGATGGTGGGGTTTGCGAACAAACAATGTACGGATCTGCTGCGGTTCTTAATAACATGAAAAGTGAGGGGATCGTGCTTTTTTGAATTATGTTATTGCCTCCAAATAGTCAAACATTTTGATCACTCGGGATGCCTTGAAGCAAATGGTGTTGCACAAGACATTTATGCCACTAAAGCGTCACCAATGGACTGAAGACTGCTTAACATCAGACGCACCTTGACAGACTGCTTTGGAACCGCCAAACCTTACATACGGCCATACCCATTGGAAAACTCGGGATCCCGTCCGCTCTCCCATAGATAAGCTAATGAGGGCTGGAGTAGTAGTCGGTTCGGTGACGACCGGCGAATGCCCGGTGCTGTATGTATACGTATGTCTGTTTTTTGTCTTCTGTTACAAGCCCTAGCAACAAACCCATCCTTATGTTTATGAATAATATTATACACTGTATTAAAGCAGCTGGTATTAATTACGTGGTGTAGCAACTTCACAATAGAGCTAGCTGAAGCTAGATAGTAATTATAAGAATCGTTAAGATGAGATAATTCTTATATTTTGGTCCTTATATCTGCTAACGCGACCGAGGGTACGGATGCGCCGTTCATACACATTTCCTGTCCTCGCGCCTGCCCGTCTTCGTGGACGGAAGCGTGGCTCTATAAGTTGATCTACAAGATATGTCTAGAGCCATGTATGTGAATGAGGAACTCGGCGAAGGAAGTGTCGCCCAATAAATCTATACCTTTGGCAAGATCGCATCCTATTCTTGGTGTAAGTGGCCAGGCTAGCCACTAAGAAGTACATTGCTTGAAACGTCATGTTTTCCCTGGGCCAGGCCCGTCAATATGACTCGCTTCATAGTCCACCGGGAAGCCATGGGGGACCAAAAGGTTGGAAGCTCAGCGCTTACATGACAACGCAGGCGCTGATAGTCGCGCTTGACGTATGTGAGCTGTGACCGAAGTTGGATTGTGTTGATGAGCTGGGGTCTGTGGCGGTGTAAAGATCGATCTTAAGCTCGGAGCAGGGAATCATTTTGCTGTCGCGGTCTTCTGTCGAAGTTTGAGAAGTGATATGCCTCCTCTGTGTGTGAGTGATTCGACGCGAAGAGTTGGAGTGAGTGTTATAGTGATAATGACGATGATATTGAAAGAGGTAAGGTTGGTAATGTTCTACGGACAGTGAGTAAGATTTGGATTGGGTATCTTGAGACATCTTCTCGTTCTTATAGTCTTTCCTGAACAGTGCATATTCCACTTTGCAGATCATTCACGGCATACGGAACATTGCACGACATCGTGCGCTAATACTACGGCAACCTACCAAGGTTGTGCAGGATGAAGCAAGGGCTTCTATGCCAGAAAGACTCTTTGGTCGGAAACATCATGTATGGCTGAAAAGGTGTTGTGTCTCTTGAAACTTGTCCCAGGTTACCTGGAATGTTCGCCTGTACTCAGTGTGTACTGCTGCGGCAGAGGAAACGGCAGCTGCTGTATGGTGTCCACGCAGGGAGGAGGAAGAAAGCCAACGCCCCGGATTTCGCTTTGGAACACGTCCTTTGAGCCAATTGCCGTGACTGGTCTTCTACGAGTGCGGTTAGCTCTTTGAAGATTTCACAATTCCCCTTCAGCGACACAAGAGCCTTGTTCAATTGTTCCTCTTCAAGGCCACAAGACGACCGAGCAACATGTTGGACTCGTCCCAGGAAGACCTCTCTCCCAAGTTATCAAGACCAAACGCTGTTTCCCTCGCCAAGCATCGGCGCGACTCGAACCAGATTTATCGAGGTGAGATATGGATTAAACCCAGGCCGACCCACGGTGTGGCTGTTGCATATGATGTTGAAATTCTTTGGTTTCCGTCCTTCTTCATTCGACACAGTATGCAAAGTTCAATTGTAACTCCAGTTGTATTGGCTTTTCAAGCATTCTCCGATCCTGCGACCGCTAGTGTCCTACGGAAAGGAATTCTAGTTGAAGCCGTCCTGGAGTTGAAGTGCTTTGCCTCGTAATCTCAACCCAATTAACTCCACGCTTCCCGATCCGGCCAATAACAATCAACGGCCGACGAAAAGACTGCAACAAACATGGTCCGAATGAAGTTTCTGCAGAGCTTGGACGTCCCTTGCTTAAAAGCGGGTGAAGGGGAGCCTTTAATGCATTAGCTTCACAACATCTCTTGGCTGTAACCACCACGCGCAGGTCGGCGGCTACAATTCTGCGGAAAACCTACCACTTGCCCTTGAGTGTAATGACAACCCAAGGGGCGCCGGCCTCGTCGATCTCCTTCTCCACTTTGGTATTAAAGCAAATGGCGCTCATAATGCCGTCGCCGAACTTTTCGTTGAGGACAGCCTTATAAGCGTATCCGTAGTTCTGGACGATTTCGTAGAGGCGGTAGATGAGAGGCTCAGTGGGGGGCATTGGGCCAGCGCGGCCCCTATCAGGAAAGTTGGTGAGGGAGCTCAAGGTCGCGGGGTCAACGCCGAGGAGCCCGGATAGTCTCTCGACATCCTCATCGGATGCTTGGACCTGGCCATAGAAGATGCCGGCCACGGCCACCTCGCTGCGCCCCAGGTGCTGAGCAATGGACTCAAAGTTGAGGCCCTTGTTCGATTTGGCCTCGAAAAGGACCTTGGAGTGGGCGGGGAGGCGATCCGCCATAGAGGTCTACGGGAGGTCGTAGGGTTAGTTGAGAATGTTTTTTTGGGGGTGGTACAGGAAAATGACGTCTCAGTGTCTGAGTCGCCGTCGCTTCTGCTTACATCGAGTGAGGCAAGTTGTCCGGACATGTTCCTGATTGTTTAGCTTTGGGATGCCGGCCGGGATTGATCTTATCGGTGTGAAGTGTGAGCAAGCAATATTGGCAAAAGGAGTTAATTTACTGGGAAAAGAAACCACTGTCGAACATCCCAAGCCGACTGACTTGTTTTTGAAAGCACGAATTACCGGTTATACGGATATTTCCCTCAATTTGGACGTCATTCATCCAGAACGTCCATGGGCAATGCGGGGTCGTGAGCTAAGAGAAACATCAGTCTGAGATGCAACTACTTGCTGCTCATCGTTGCCGAGGCTCCATCCGCGCCGGAGAAAACACGGCTTTTCGGCTTCGTTTGAATCGGCCCGCCACAATTGCATTTCGTGCCGTCGAATTTCAAATCCCGGTTATTATAATGACTAATTCTTTGTATAGCGGCTTGTTTCTATATGACAATCGGCTCCGAAATCCGCCCTGAAGCTGAGCGCAGGGCGGAAGAAGCAGTTAGGTCGGGCAGACCGGGCTCGGTAGATTCGGCGATTTCGCCCCGGTCGACCTCGCCTCCAGGAGTTCCGGTTTAGTGCCGCCGACACAGTTTATCTTCTTGATTTGAAACACCTGCACCAACAAAATCGGCAATGGCCGCCATCTCGAATGCCTCCGAGTATAAGTCCTCTGCTGGGCACTCGCGCATCTCTGTCGAGATCGGGAAACGTTTGTATCTTCAACTGATGCGTCCGTCCTTGTACCTCGCAAGGATTGAAATGATCTTGCATCCAGTCATCGTGGTGCTCCTCTGGCTGGGACTGGGCATTGAACTAATGCAGCTGGCACGCTATATCTCTACCCGTGCAGATCAGGCGGCACTGGTATTTATTGGCAAACCACCAAGATGCGTGCCGCACACGCAGACGTTTCCAGTTGGCAGTTGTGACGCTACCTGCCTGCGCCGAAGCAGAAGACATTGCAACGCCCGTGAAGCTGCAGACAGAGTCGCAGATCGCTCATATTGCGGATGACCGAGCAGCCGCTGTGCCAGGCGGTGGGAGTTCGCCGATGGTTGACAACCGTTGTGGCCGTTGGAGCTTTCAGAGCCTTGGTGGTCAGAGAGGTAGATTGTGGTTCTCGATAATTCGCTCAAGCTGGCGTCGAAGAGTTCGCGCCGAGGGTAGGCCAACCTCTTAGATCCCACTCTCTTCTGGCGCCCTTGAGGTCATCAACGTTCAATATATCCACACCTTCTCGAATAAGGATGCCCCAAATATGGTTTCTGATGCTGATTGGCCAGGCAGGGAGATCCCAGTACCGCACTTTCAAGCCCCGGGCATGGGCTTGCTTGACCTGTTCCCTCAACTTCGTGATCTGGCTCTTCGACAGGTCGCCGAACCACACGATACCGACAGCTTTTTTGAACGAGACACTGGTATAGTACGAGTTTGTCGGGTTGAAGTCTTTCGTATCGAGTTTGGTGAGGGGGGCGTCAAAGAAATAGTCCCGATAGATGGTATTCTGGACCAGCATATCGAACGGAGTGTTACCGGTTCCTACAACTGTGATGGGGCCATAGTTGACCTGGCCATCAATGACGGTGCTCAGCCACCCTCTGTCGCGCAGGGGTTGGAGCTGGCGCACCACCTCTGGCCATGTTTCTGCACCGTTTGTCTTGAGGTCTACAAGTAAAATGAGGGTTTGGTTCGGGTTTGCCTCGTAGATACCGCGGGGACGTTGGTCCGTGGAGTTCTCGTGACCTAAGTTTCGTTCCTCAAGAAGCCGAGCCAAGGGATCGACGTAGAGGCTGGTAAATGTGTTTTCCTCGCGAAGGGACCACCTGTCGTGTCCGACAAACAACTCAGTGCCATAGAGCCAGACGTCGGCCTCGATCCCTACGCAGCCCACCTGAAGGGCAGAGAACACTGGTCTTCTTCTCCAGTAGTCGTTATGTGAGTGGCACGGAATGGGAACGACAACGCTTGCTTCTTCAAATTCCTCGGGAGCGCTGTCCCAGACCTCTCGCGCTGCAAATAGAACCAGGTTGAGGAGAACAAAAATAAGACTACAGAGGTTAATCAGTCGAGCCTGGAAGACCGAGTTTGCGTCACTTACAGCATGGCAAGCCACACAGCACCGCACATGAAGAAGGACCTCTTCCTGGTCCATGGCTTCGGGGTCATGTAGGCGGGGGTGAGCAAATGGTCCTCGGAGGTACAGCTTTCTGTTGGAGTTGGTGGCGCCTCGACGTTTCTATCGACGCTGTCTTCGTCCTCGGGAGAGTCTCTGTACCGGGGCATTGTGGTGTTACTTCGGGACCACAGTTGGCGGAAGCGATCACTTATCGCGTCCAGGCTGGCATTGCTTGACGATGTCATGTTGACGGTGGGTTACGGAATCTTTCACAGAAGGGAAAATCGAAGCTGTGTTTGAAGCCCGTAGAGACCTGAATGAATTTAAAGAAGTAATTCTCAAATAATCCAGGGTCGTGTTGGGTTGCTCGATGACCCGCTCTCGTGAAGTTGTGACCGTGACGGTTGACTGGTCAGCAGAGCATGTCGTGTAAGTTTGGATGGGTGTCTCTTTTTGAAGCCTGCTGATGTCAAGGCGGCGACGAAATGTGTTCAGCGTGCCTCGAAGTCGAACAGGCCTGGAACCATAAGAGTACTTGGCGATGGAGGCCGAGCAGGGGTCGGGTTTAAAGTCGAGAGAAGGCACACAAAGAGAACAGCCCCAAAGGGCAGAAGCCAAGAGATGCGAACGGTTGCGGAGGGGCCGACGAAGTAAATAATGAACGGGAGAGGCAGCAAGACACTCCAAATATAGACGAGCGTTTACCTTGAGATAGCTTAGCCTTGGTGCCAGGAGCAACAAGCAGAGCTTTTGATCAACGCAAAGTCAGCTAAGACAGGGTAGCGTACAATGGAGGTCGAGACAAGCAATGGCGGCAGGGAGGATGATGGTAGTGCAAGAAGGGGGCAGGAATTATAAATGACAAAACGGCAAGCGGATCCGAGCATGGTGAAGATCAAAATGGACGGTCGAGAACAGACTTTGGAGCTGAGAGGGGCGGCGCTGGATAGAACTAGGGAAGCGTGGGCAAGGTAGACCTGTCGATGCAAGGTAAAGGTGCCTGACGGCGTATTTTGAGTACAAGTAGCGCGGGCGGGCTTGCTAAAGTTGATGGTGAGGAAGGGGGGCTTGGGAGACGAGACACACACGAGGAGCTGGGACGCGAACAGGGACCGGGACTCAGGGCAACGGGCTGGGACGAGGGAAGGCGGACAGAAGAACGGGGGACGGGGGATGAGGCACGAGGACGAAGAGCGAGGAGACATACCAGCTAGCTACCTTTCCTTACCTAGTGCTTGACCGAACACTAACGCCCCCGTGGAAGGAAACGAGAACCGAGCACCAGACCCCGGTCTCGAGACTCGAGACTCCAGACTCCAGACTCCAGACTCCAGATTCCAGACCAGCTACGCGCCGCATCTCGAGTGCTCGGAGTACCTTGGATACCTAGGTAGAGGTGAGGGGCACAGTGGCTTGCTCGTTTTCATGTTGGCGGTTCACCAGCGGCATCGGCTACTGCGATAGGGCGCGGGCTAGCTACTGGTTGGCGCATTCAAGCATTTTCTAGTCGTCCAGCTTGTTGCCCGACAGAAAATAGAAGAGAGGAACGGCAGTGGAGGTCAAGGTCAAAAGAGAGCAGGAGGGAGGGCGTTGGAGAGCAGAGGGTCCCTAAGGTACATACCTTAAGCAAGGAACAGGGTGGGCGCGGGACCCGAAAGAGCGTTTCTACGGGTGTTTCTGTTTCTGTTTGCTGCCGTGTCGCCAAATTCGTGCCATGATAGCTGCATGGTTAGCATCGCTCGCTGCCGCCGGACAGCGACTCGGGGCAAACAAGCACACGAAAAGTACATGGGTGCACGCCGGGCGGGTTCCCATTGTCGTTAGCATCGTTCGTTGTTGCTGCCAAACTAAGGTTGTTCGGCATGCCCCTCAAACCCATCGCGTCGTGTCGGAATGCCTGAGTCGAATGGCGAACCAGCGTCCTTCAAGGTCTGGCCAGCATGGGATCCCTGTCTGAGCAGTCAGGGTCTCAAGGAAATCCCTCTCTTCGCCTCCAATTCAATCCAATCCAATCCATCCCAGCGCCCTGGCTGGCCCTAAGCCGCTCCTCAGTGGTCGGTGTCGGTGTCGGTGATTTCTCCTCGGTTACCAATTCCCAACACTCACTGCATCTTGCAGCATCCCCCGGCGGCGGATCTTGGTCTGTGCAGCCTGCCTATGACTCTGCGTTCCAGCGCACTCCAAGCCAAGTTGTTTTAGGCACGTGGCGCAGCCGATAGGCGGATAAAACCAGCCGGCCCTGCCAAACTGTGCCAGTGCCTACCCGACCTACCTTAAGGTACCTTAGGTATGTCCTCTTTCTTCCTGCCCAAGTGCGGTGTTTTCCGCTGATGCGTGACCGAACTGAGGATGGTTAGCTTGCGCCGTCCACCCGACCAAGCCCGCCTGCCCAGCCTGCCAAGCAAGACCAGACCAACCTCACCGATCTGCCTGCCTGCCAGCTCCGCATGGGTGACTGACCCCAAAGACCTCCGCAAATGGCCAACCACCTGCCTCGTCGACGTCGACGTGTGCTTACCTTAATTCGTGACTGGCTCTCGTCCGGAACCCCAGCATCGGCATGTCTTGAGCGCGCAAATTCCAAGAAGCCAGACTTGAACCACAGTTGATCAGAAGCCTCGCTTTCATCAGCACCTCAGCACCAAGCGCCAGGGCGGACGAGTACGTACGCTCATCGTCAGGCGTCGGCACTGAGACACGTCCGAAAACATCGCCCGGTGTCATATATTCAGACGGTCGCAATTGACTTTGTACGACGTCCTTCATCATCGTCTGTCTCCTCCAACATGGCCCTCCAGCAGCCTGACACGCGAAACAGAGACCGGACTTGAGCTTGGTTGACCGACTGCGTGTGTGTGATGCATCGGCCCAGGAACCCTGCTAGGGCTCTGTCGGGAACTATGTGATGTTCCATTGTCTGTGTCTGCATCGCCTCAAGACCTGGTCAACCCTCAGGCAACCCCAATCGCCCCGTTGTGCCAAGTAGCCATCTGAGATCCCACGCACAAACCCCAAGGCGCCCGCCTTGCGACCCTCAATACGACGGCGACGACGATGGCGATGTTTCCGTGACTGGTCATTATTCACTTGCCCACGCCTGCATGCCGTGCCCCTCAGACAAGAAACAGAAAACGTGCCTCTGCTTGCCTCAGCATGCCTCCGTCACACCCTGTTTTCAACTACACCGCAAATTGCCGCGCAGCATGTACATGCTTGAAGCAGTATGCTGTAGTTTGAGACACTTTTCTTTACCTAGTCATTCAAACAAGCTTCTCGTCCAAAAGCCCCGACATGCCGCGGGTACATAGTAATATGCCGGTTCACACCACCCGGTTCCCCTCGCTGTGCTGTTGCGAATTGCGGTACGTATCAGATTAGCTAGTCCAGTGTCCAGGTACCTAGGTAAGATGTGTAGTGAGATTACGGCGTCAGCGTGTAGAGTTATCAGGAAGGTATATTAAAACCTGGCAAAAGAAACGGGAGACATCGGAACCAGATGAGTCTCTCGCCTTAGTTGCACACCGAGAGTTTTTGACTGCTCGTCGGGATGAAGGCACCCCATCTTGCTGCGGACTTGTCATCTAGGAACATCAGGTGCCAAGCTGCCAGCGCGTGCAATCCCGCAATCCCGCGTGTGATCTCTCGACTGTGGATCGCCCCCAGGGTCCCTGCTGAAAGACCCCTGTCTTTTGCTGGAGACAGAAACGAGGCGGTTTCATGGACCCCCCGTCTGCACTCCGCAGTACTGCGTACACTAAGGCAATACGTAGTGTGCTTATCAGATAAGCTTTTGATTCCCCGCCGACCCTATGCTGACCTAATACAAAATTTTCATCGCGACCTATTGAGTTTTGCAGACAAGGCGTTCGATGCAGCCTTCGAAAGCCTCATCACCAGCAAGTGACATCACCCACAATGCCCCACAAACATACCAGGCGGGAGCAAGATCCATCGTCGTATGTTAAGCAGCCCATTGACTCGCGTTCTACCTATGCATCGATGCCTAACAAAGTGTCAATAGATTCGATCTTCCGCCCAGTCAGATTGCGAGGCCATTGCCCGTCAACAAGGGCCGCAATGCCCAGCAGGCAAATCCCAAAACTCAGAACGACGGTGTCACGAAGAAAAGGAAAAACAAGAACGATGATACTCCTCGCGCTTTTAAGCGCCTGATGGCCCTCTCTCAAGGCAAGAAGCTCCGATCCGGTCTGGATGATGGTCAGCCAACGAAACAAAAGAGGAAGAAGAACAAGCAGGCGGGAAAAGAGAAGCCGGATGAACCGAACACAGGTGCTGTCGATGCCGTTGTCAAAGAAGGAATGCCGAAAATTCGCCCTGGAGAGAGCATGTCTGATTTTGCTGCCCGCGTCAACGCGGCCCTGCCCCTATCGGGTCTCGTCAACAAGACTGCTAAAGACGGGAAGGACCCAGTTGGTCTCAAGGTACAGAGAACACGTAAGGAGCGCCAGATGCATAAGTTATACGATCTCTGGCGGGAGGAAGAACGCAAAATTCAGGAGCAACGGGAAGAGGAGGCCGAGGAGGCTGCTGAACGTGAGCTGGATGAGGAGATCAACGGAGGGACATTTGGAACATTCGGCATCACACGGGCTAGTATGCAGGAGCCAAGCCAGGGTGGAAAGAAGAAGAAGAAGAAGGGAAAGAGGGGCAAAGGAGCTGACCGTGAAGAGGACCCGTGGGCGGTTCTGAAGAAAACACGGGGAGAGGTAAAGACAGGTCTGCATGATGTCGTTCAAGCGCCTCCAGAACTCCCCAAGATTTCCCGCGAGAAGCTTCTTGTACGCGGTGCCGCCGTGGATGTTTCTAACGTTCCAAAGTCTGCGGGAAGTTTGCGACAGCGGGAGGAGCTCCAGCAGATCCGTGAGCAGGTTGTCGCTACCTTCAGGAGGAAGAAAGAAGAGAAGCTGGCTCGTCAAGCTGCTGCTGCTTCATTATAGTATACCCCTGGTAGATTCGCATTATTTCATGTTGTAACGCATTGATAAATATCTGAAAATGTAGGTCTTCGTCTCAGTTAAGCAGCCAGGGGTGAAAGAGTGAATCAGAGAATGAAAGGATTCCTATCATCTCCGTTATCAAACCCGCCAGAGAGGTGGGGGTTTCGCTCTTGAATTTCATGCGATACCTATTCAGAGAAACAAGTTCACTGAGAACATGAGTATTACCTAGGTAACCATTACTACCTGGGTAATGTAAGGTACCTACCTGCACTGAGGTGCTGTGAAGTGCAACGTGGGTAGGTGCTCGCAGGTAGGTGGCTGCAACGCATGTCGTGGCCCACTCTTTGCACCAGCCACAGCTACCGAATATGATGACAGCTGAGAAACTGGATGCACTTGCGCTGCTGCGCATGTGGCTCGGTCTGGGCTGCATGCTAGCGGGGTTCTCGACTCCATGCAAACGCAAAAACTGGGATTTTGACCAACGACCTGACAAACGCCAATCGCAAGGCGCCTAGGTTCGATCTTCCATCGTCGACCACAACCACTCAGCAAGACATCGGGTTTTTTTCCCTATTCAAGACGCCCCCCTTGATAATGTGCAATCGACACGAACATTCATCATGTCCCGCGACCTGGAGCGATTGATCGAGTCACTCATCACTGATGTCTCCTGCTATGGTGACCTAGGTGAGTGAATCTATCTACTGAAACGAGCCTGTTCTTTGCTTTTGCATCCTTTACAACCTCGCGTCAAATTTCAATCAGGATGATGCGCGAGGCAGTCGGCTATGTATACATCGCCTTTCGAGCCGAGAAGGGCATGAGCGACGAGCGGGTGCCTTTTCGGTCTGTCACTGACCAGTGAACAGGATGTACCGTTTCCCACGTCTTGGAAGCACTAGACGCATTCTACCAAGATGCGCATTTGAGAAGCGATAAGCTATCTCAGGCCGATTCATCGGATTCGACGAGGACTAACCAACTCCTCTGGTCCACAGCATGGGACTGGCTCAGGATCAGGAAGGATCTTTCTGTTGGAGCCAATCGAAAATGGAATCACTTACCCTTGTCGGATATCCTGACCATACCAGATGCAGACGCCCAAGATGGTATCGCAATGAAGTCACCCAATGCATCCATTGGAAGGGGCGATGTTGCATATACAAACGAAGCTCAGCCTCAACCAGGTGCGGTGCCACCGCGGAAGGACCTGCCGCGCAAAAGGCCTCGCATCTACGTATCTGAAGATCGGATGTGGGAATCGATCGCTGGGCACGCTCCAGACTACCGAAGAGTTCCAAGACTGGAGTGGATGGCCTTGGTTGGAATAGCATCGACGAAGCAGCAAGGAATTCTGCAGGGAGATCTTGGCCGACTTGTCGGCCAGGACAAACGTTCACTACCAAAAAGAACCGACGCTCTTGCAGAAAAGGGATACATTTCCAAGCGCACAACTCTTGTCAGAGGCACAAAAACAAGCAAGCTGTGGCTTACACGCTTTGCTCCTGCGCTTCCTACGGACCCCACGAAAGTCGCCGCTGGTATGCCCGCCAATGTCGACATGTCTCGGGAAGCATTGGCAAGTGATCTCGAACCTGTTTCCTGGCGTGGAAGATGGACAGGAGACTCGGTCGATTATATTTCTCTGGCTCAAACAATTATGGCTGTGGTGAAAGCCTATCGAATCATCAGATATCACGACTTGCGGTGTAAGCTGGGGATCCTAGGCCTCAGGTGGCAGATGAAAGTTGCCGCAAAGACCTGTCGCTTTTTCGTTCGAACAGGTGCCATTCAATACGTGGGCGCCACCTTGTCAGGCAAGCTATTCAAGGACTGTCTCAAGTTCGACCATGACCTTACTCATGAGGACTGGGCTGCCTATCTGGCGACCGGAAAACAAAAAAGCCCTTCGTTCTCATCCTCCGGCTTCGATGCCGGACTTTTCCCCGCTGATGGAATGGATGCGCAAGGCCCAACTCTCGATACCGCCTCGCGCCCAGTATTGGGCCCCCAGCGCAGTAAAAAGACGCGTGCTGCTCTCTGGGTTGCTGACAAGCCCCTGACCACAACTGTGTTCGACAATATCCAAGCTGCCGGCCCCGCTGGTCTCTCAAACAAACAAATAGGTGACTCGACACTTGGACCGTCATTCAGGAGATACTTGTCGTCCATCTCATCAACGTTGGCTATTCCTGCGCTGCAGCCGAATCACCTCAAGCATTTCCAAGTACTGAGTGAAATGCATCGAAAGGGCAAGTCACAACAATATCGCTACTTCGCCCCGCAACTGCCAGGGCCTTCGGAACCTTCTTCTGCTGAAGCAGTCGGGGATAACGACAATGGTGTAAAAGATGCAGTCTACAGGGGCGATTCGCATGCAGAATCGATCAGTCTTTTCCCGGCTCCTTCTATCCCGCCGGATACTGTTCGCGCTGTCGGTGGTCTGACAGCACTTGCGCAAGGCCCTGGCAAGGGAGCGACGGTGAGTGGTTCAAAACGGAAAGCCGAGGTTCTGGATATCTCCCATGGAAGCGAACCTCGAGATCTCGGATCTCGTCGGGGAAAGCAGGCGAGGCTGGCATCGCTGGCGTATCAAGAAGGCCTAGACGAAGAGCACAACGTTCCGCCAGCGATCAGCCATGATTCCAACCCTGAATCGTCTTTGAGGATGTCCACTCGTGGAAGCACGGGAAGAAGAAAGGCAGTCAGCACAGAGCTTGACTCTATGATTGTCAAACTCAAGGTCAGGCCGGAAGCGTTGTCGGACGTTATGCAGGCTCTGGCAGGAGGCGCAAAGGGCGAAAACAGAGTCGATCCAGCACCGGCTGAGATCGGTTTCCAAGACAAAGTGGAGGCTCGCAGTTCGCAGAGGAGAGATGCTGGTTCACGTCTTAAATCAAGACATGATGCATCTGGATATCTAAAATCGGCCGAGGACACCGTAGCTCCCGACGACACACAAGAATCGATTATGGTCGCCCATGAGGACCAGGATCGAAACGCTGAGGAAAACTCCTTGCAGCTCGTCAACAAAACCGCTGCTGAAGAAACAACAAGACGCGGAGGGCGACGTGGAAAGAAGAAAGGAGCAGAAAAGAAGACACGGAGCGTCTTTAAATGCGAAAAGTGTGGAGGAACTTGGAAGAATGACGTTGGCATCAAGTACCATCTCGAGAAGTCAAAAACGACATGCAATCCGAATTACGTTCCACCAGCGACAGCTCCGCCAGAATTGGTGGACAGAATATCTACTTCCGCAAAGCTAGTGACACCTCGTCCGACTAGACATCGCCAAGTCACAACGCCCGCCATCGATGAAGCGGACGAAATAGTGCCCTCGCCAACGGGCGGTCTTACACTGGGCGCTGCTGCCCCTGATGCGGCAGCAGCCGGCCTGGATGACTTAAACGATATGGATATCCTGATCTCCGATGGCAACACTGCTACTCGAAGAAGGAATACGAGGACCTCACGGCCTAGATGGTCTCATGCATCTTCTGAGGCGAGATTTGGGGTCAGAAACCGCATCGGCGGCCAACGCCAACCGTGCAAATCATCCTCGCTTCGGCCACCGATTTCTGTTGTCAGATCTTCGATGAGTGGCCTTATCGACGACACAGACGGTACCGTCAGAGACATGCCTGCAGAACACGCCCCAATCCAGCCGTCCTTCAAGCGCCTGCGAGTTGAGGAAACAACAACAACAACGACAACAACAACGAGCGCTGCTGACCGTCGCGGCAGTCCATCAACCAGTTTTGTCGAGGCTGGTGAAGCCTTTTTACCAACATGTGCACAAGAGCGCGGCAGCGGAGGGCAAATCAACTCTAAGTCGAATACATCAAGGGCAGAAACATCATCCAGTGTTACACTCGGCTTATCAAACGCAGAGGCAGTGCGAACTAGTATCGGCATCAAAGGTGCGTTGGCAGTCTCCGGGCAGGATCTCATGGAGAAAATTCTCATGCACATCCTGCATGCCAACGGTGGAGTCTTCCCTGGCGGTTGCTCCGTTTGGTATGCCGTTCTCGCAACGTGGGAAGTAGCTTTCCCGGGCGAACCCACACCGGCTCACCAGAGCTACAAAGATGCCTTGGCCCGATTGGCCAAAAGAAAACAGATCGTTGTCAGTACACATGCCTTCAAGGATTCTAGAGGTATGATGGCAAATTACCAATTACTGAGGGTCCCCGGGGTTGAGGCATCTTCACCAGCTGGCGCGGCCATGAAAGCAAAGATAACTGCAGCGCACCCCAAGGCCTATACACCCCTGGCGTTCACTCCCAAGACCGGGCTCCATGATGAAGACAGCAACAACGTCCAGCCAGTTTTCTCGAGCCGGCGAAAACTTGTCCAGGGAATCGAGGTTCTTGATGCGCCTTTTTATGCTAAGAAAGCCGCAAATGAACGGCCACTCACCCCTCCTGAGGGTACCAATTTGACCCCACGGAAACGGAAGAGGAGAATGGTGACGAAGGAGCAAATTACACACGCCGAGGATGACGGCCCTGATGGTACACGACGTCGGGATATTTTCCGATTTTTTATGGACGGCAACGACGGAGCTCACAACGGACTAACGCGGTCAAACTCGATGGAAGCTGGAAGAAGCGGCTTCGTAACCCCTTTGGTGTTCCTTAAACCCAACGCTTATCTCGGCGAAGATGTGCCAGAGGAAGTCAGACATTCCCTGTTACCACCCGACGGCCCAACTACCGAGCCAACATACCCGTCGGCACCAGCCAAGGACGATGTAGCCAACAACTTCAGCGTCAGTTTCACTGACGCCACCGTTATCGTAGGCCAAAGGGGCGTCTGGCCGGCGATTGACGACAGTTTATTCGACGAAGACTGCAGCTTAACAACACTAGGTTGGATGCCGGATTCTCGATGGTTCCTGAAGCAGAATCTACCGCAAAACTTGGCTGAGATGGTAAAATGGCGCGGCCGCCCGCGGTCCAAGTTTCCAAGCAGCAGCCAGTATCAGGAGTTTTCTGAGCAAGTCGATGCCTGCTTCGACTGGGAGTTATCGACCGAGGGTATGAAGCTCATGTTGGCCGAGTCAATCGTGCCGGAGCACATCTTCATCAATCTTGGCGTTAGCGACCTGCCAGGCAAATGGGTGAATCCTCCTCTTGACTGGAATTCCGCTAATCAATTGAGTGCGTCTCTATTATTCGACGTGCGCTTGTCGGACTTCACTACCACTGCGGCTGATCATCTATGGGGCGGCGACCTTGGCCGTCAGCGGCGACGCAAGCGACGACAAAAGCAACCCATCACCGACACAAAGGACCTTGTAGTGGGTATAGATCTGAAGATCAGGTCGCTCATAACACTGCCAAAGGATGCGGACCTGCGAGAGGCATCCAAGCGGAACAACGGACTGGATGAGACCAACGAAACCATATTGATAGCGGCGTTCGTTGTGACTAGGACATTACTAGGCGGCGCCGACAGGGTCATCGAATGGGGCTTGATGATGACGTTGTTCCCGGACATGGCTCTCAGTGCTATGCGGCGATTCTGGTCCAAAGCTCGGAAGGACCGACGGACGTTCATTAGTCAACTCACAGAACGATTCCAGATTCGATTCATTCCCGCCTACGAGAACAATGAGTTCCCCGCGATTGACTTTGATAACTACGTCAACTACGATTGGGTCCGTCTGATCAGATGGACCGCTGGGCTCATCGAGGACTCCGTGGAGCTTCCTGCGAGCAAAAATGCCCTGGTTCAAGGATATTCTCTCGCACCAGCCTGGGCGGACATTGATAATTGGCGTGAAGATTACTACAATTTTCAGATGTCTGTCTTCAACAGATTTGAAGCCGCTACCTCGCGCCCGGCTACTTCCCTCATCGATGAAGGCAGCGGATCTGCCCCAAATACGAAAGCGAAAGACCTGGTTACAGCCATGTCCTGGCTTCGCTCTCTCTGCTACACGCCGCGCGATAGATACGCACCACAAGATATAAGGAAGAAAATGGCCAGCATAGGAGGCGGGGACGAGGAGCGCATTCAGAATTTGCTTGAGCAAGCGGTTGAGACCCTCCAAGGCCAGGGCATCATTACGGACAGCAAGCTGAAGGCACTCGAGGGAAGGCCATACCGCCTTACTGAGACCTTTCTTCCTCGGTTGATAAAATGGACGCATCAGCACAAGTTCGTTGACGCCACCCGCTTCAAGTCGCGACTTGATGTCAGCTTTCGACGAGGCGAAAAGATTCGTATTCCTTATGTTCTCAGAGACGGTGAAGTTATGGCGATGATGAACCTGCAGGCGAATGGGAGAGTGGCCGTTACGACAGTCGATGTCCCGAGCATTCCTCTGGGATTTGATCCCGGCAACTATGAAAGCAGAAAGTACCCGAAGTCGTATTATAACTTCGGCCTTGAGATCGCTCCCACACAAGATTATCTGTACGATGATGATTTAGAGGTTATCGAACGGGCAAGAAGCAACAGGCCCCCACGAGAAAACCAGAACCGAGCCATACCATTGTGGTCTGACTTTTTTGGGGAGCTCAATATAGAACGCTGGTCACAGGTCCTCGGTGCAGTCGCTTTCGTCATAGCCACGCGCGGCCCGCTGGACGTCCCGTCTGTTTGCGCAGTTTTGAAACCCTACCTTCAAGAATTTGAGGTTGAAATGGTCTTCGATTGGGGCCGACACAACGGGGTGTTAAAGCACATGGCACACGGGACGAGCTGCACAGTGGACGAGTGGTGGTGGCTGCTTGTCGGGAGGCAGCGAGGCATTGCGTTATGAAGACTTGTTTTACAACAATTTCTCAGTCACTTTGGGGACAGGGTGCCTATGCATCGAACTACAATGAAGCAAAGGGCAAGACACTTGGGGACCACAGAATTCAAGTCCAGGACTGCTGAGAAATTGAAACTGTGGTTAAGAATCCTGGCACAGATACTCGCCGTATTCATTCGCGTATGAAAATCGATGCAACCTGCATTCGTAGAGCAAGTGGAAAACACGCTAATAGACATTTATCTGCCTCTGTATTCAATCCAAGCACTTCGCATGTGCCTTTCTGCCACCGTGTCTCTGTGTCGTAGACCCATCCATCAGCATATGAACATCCGACCCAAATGTCCCTGGAAGAGCATCAGTGTCAATAAGTTGCCCATCACAGCCTCCGCACGTCTAAGTAGGTAACGGATGAGCTGACACCCACTGAAAATTACCATCTGTTTGTACAGAACTGACTGGCTAAAAGTCCAGGATTACTTTGAGAATCATCGCTAGAAGCAACACAACAAGTGCAACGATGGCCCGGTCCACCCACAGCGGTACCCCTTCGTCGTGCGGGCGTTGGTGAGCTTGCCGAACGTTCGGTGCCGGAGGCAGGGACACTGTTCTTGTTGGGTTCAATATCGATGGGGAGGGCCCGTTTGATCCCGCTGCGATGTCGGTCGCTGGTACTTGTGATATGGGCACTGGACTTGTTTCCGGCCCACCCACTTTGGGTGCAGTGCGGACGAAACCCTCGGCGAGCTCCGCACTCTCAGCATCACCATCGTCGTGCCGTGGGGTTTCCTGCGCGTGGTGTTGTCTTTCGGCCAGCTTGCCCATTTCATCTTTCCATCCCATCTTCAACTCTGAGGGTATTTCGACATCAGAGGATTCTGATGTGACGGCGATGGATTTGGCACTCTCCTCGCATTCCTGTATAATCTCGAGATTGGTTTTAGCGCATGTTGGGCACTTGAATGTCTGGGATGCCGTCGCGTGACGCCTTCGCACAGCGTCGCTTGTTTCGAGACCACCTAGTTGGCCTCGAGGATCTGTCTCCATAAAGCTGCGCAACCTGGTTGGTAGTTAGTAAAGGCGGCCAAGTCAAGGCCATTATGACGAGCGACGTACGCAACCAACGCCGTCCTTACGCCCCAGGCGGGCTGCCATGTTTCCTCGTGATGACCGCTGATGCTGAGGCAGATCTCGCGGTTCGTCTCGAAACGGCCGCTCGGAGTAAGAAATCGAAAGCTGGGCGGACGGAGCGGATATGTGGGTGGCAGGACGATTCGACCGTGGTAGATTCCATCGCTATAGGAAGAATTCGGGGGCCCGCGGAAGGTAAAGTGCCATTCGAATAGATCTGATTCTAGCGGGGTTGCCGTGTAATCTGGCGACGGCGAGTTTGAAAGTTCCTGTGCTTCGCGAACTGGACGCGAACAGATCAGATAATGACTGGTAGACGAGCAGAAGGGCAGAAAACTCTTACGTATGCGCCGTATCGTGGGCGACTTGGAGTTAAATTTGGGAGTTGCCATGTCGGCTATCTAGTTGGATTGACACTTCGAGGTGACCAGTGCTGTGTTCAATCGTTTGAGCGACAGCAGGGTCCCAGAAAAGTGTGTCTGATAGGGTAATCCGCAAATTCGATCAGGAGAAGGATATAGGTGGATTGGCTGCTGCCTTCTGGTCAATGTAGAGGTTTATTGGGAATGGTGCTGGAGGATAGGTGGCTCGAATTACGTATGAAGTCTACGTAGGCAAGGTAGGTAAGGTGCGTTGATGTTGCGATACGGGGACTTATCGGATCAACGTCCCGCTAGAAATGGTGCTACGGGGCCGTCTCTTTGTGCCATTGTGCAGCACTCAAAGAGTTCTGTGTCCACTCTGCTCCAGGGGCTGTCAATGGTTTGAGACGGTAGGGGCCAGCCAACATCCGGGCCAGTGTCCCGGCCCGGAGAAGCCCCACCGGGCACAAAGGCGGGGGCTGCGTATCAGCGGTGTTTAGATAGGTACCTAGATTTCCAGGCAGGCACATGAGGCACCAACCTGCAATTAAGGGAGACACCTAATCGATACAGATTGATTCGTCGTCTCCCAGCTCCGCCCCAATTACCTAAACAGCCAAGGCAGAGCTCCACACAGCGCTCCCGGTCTTGTATGGTGATGCTCCAACGTCGTTCGTCCTATCAGTATTTTCAGTCACCTCCAGCTGCTCTACCCCGTCCCTTCCCCAACTCCGCGTGCGAAGAGGAACCGGCCATATTCGAGGTTGGTATGTTCATGTCGTTTTCGTCAATTGGTTCTATGACAGCTTCTAATTGAACTCCTCAGAAGATCCCGTCTACCCCGACCGACGCGCCTTGCCGCATTCTCACGATGTATCCCGGCCCCAAGCCTCCCACGCCTCACGTCCCGGGCATTTACCGCTATACAGCGACTGCTCTGGGTGCTGGCATGTGGTTCTTTGTGCGTTGTCTCGCCACGATATGACGCTCGAGAAACAGACATGCTGACTATTTGCCATTGGTAGCTGATGTATCGCGCGAAGAAGGATGGTGTGTTCATGCCCTTGGTGATGCGTGCAGTTATCCATTGTAGCTGACAATCGTGTGCAGGTCCCGTTTTGCTGGGCTGGAAGCATCCCTGGGATCACTGATCCTCACGTTTTGACCCGGTGCCGTGGAGGGAATCGACGTTGGAGCAAAATAAGCATCACCAGCCATGGGTTGATCAAGATTTGCCGGACCGAAGCCAACAAAGAAGATATGGCTATTCTATGAATATGACAGGTTTACCCGTGCGTGTCCAGTGGAATGATCAGTTTGGTTTCTCGAACAGATAGTGCGCAATGCCCCAGATGTCGCCGCCGTGATAGGCAAACAGCTCGGAACACGCCATGTAAAATATCTGCCACCGGTTATACCATACACTGGCATCCTGCTCTCCGTAGGTCTCCACCAAGTGCGGCCAGATCTCCTTCTTGTGTGCAAGCATCTTGCTCAGCCAATCCTATTGCAAAGACGTCAGGTCGCTCGGTGCGTTCAGGGACAAGCATTGAAAAGGGGAAATTGACGTACCTCACACGTTTTGGAGTAATGCTGGCCGTTCACCCACCACTGCCTCTGGATTTTGAGATCATGCTGGAAGTACAGAAGCAGATCAACAGACGGCATGGTCCCTCCGGTGAAGAAATGCGTTGTCATCCAACCCTCCTCGCTGCGTTGCCTATGTCAGTAATGGTATTCCTCACCAGGAAAATACTCAACTTACTAGTCATACGGCGTGGTCTTATGTGCAAAAATATGCACGAAAAGCTTGCCGCCTCCTTTCAAAGCCCTGCTGACCTTGGCCATCAACAACTCATAGTTTTTCATGTGCTCAAAAAGCTTGTGCTCATCAGTAGCGATTCAACTGTGCGCGTTTGGGACGCTACGCACCTCGATGGACACGACTCTGTCGAAGGACTCAGGCTCAAATTCATAGTCGACAACGTTGCCTGTGATCACTGTGAGATTGGCCAGACCCTTCTCCTTGGCCTTTCCATCAATGTATTCCTTTTGCGTCTTAGAGTTAGAGAACGCAGTGACCTTGGAGTTAGGAAGGACCTCTGCAAAATAAAGCGCGCCCGACCCCCAGCCGCAGCTACGCAGAGTGAGTTAGCCCAAGTTACCTCGGCATGACTGTTCCGTCAAGAAAGGGGAAGGAGTGAAGGCTCACCCGAGATCTAGAATGCTCATGCCGTCCTTCAACTCCGCCTTCTCCACATAAGTCTGCAGCATGGCAACTTCAGCCTGTGCCAGCGTCTCCCCGCCCTTGGGGTATAGACAGCATGAGTACTTCATACGAGGGCCCAAGCATGCGGCCAACACGCCGGTGCCGACTTCATAGTGCTGCTTGTTGGCAGCAGCAGTCTCGATGGCTATGGGCTGCGTGCGTAACTTCTCGATAAAGGTCATCTTACGCTCGTAATCCAGGCTGAGAGAGGTGCTTGCGATAGAATCGAGACGCTCTTGGAGCTGTCGTCGGATGCCAACTCTGATAACTGCATGGGGCAGGTAGCCGCTGTCGAGAATCCAGTCTGTTGAATCTCGTCAGAGACGTAGCTCCATTGCGATGAAAGCAGCAGAAGCTTCCTCCTCTATCAATGGTGGAGAAAGCACCATGGTCGACTTACCCATGTTCATCGTGATTTCACTAGGAGGAAATCGTCAATAGCTCGCAAGATGGTTTGAAGCCAAAACTGAGATAGTAGCTGTTTTCCGCCGAGCAAAAGATTCCGTGTCCTCAACTTTTTTTTTTTGGCTTGGGAGATGTTGCACTTCGAAACCAGATTCGAGTCCGAGCACAAAAGGGTGTGCGTCTGTTATCGTGGCATCTGGCAGCTTTTGTATTTTACAAACGCAACTTCACGATGTCGACCACTAGTAGCGCGATCGTTTGCAGGACAAGGTGGGTGGCACAGGACTTAATTGAATATCGGCGAGTGTGATTTTCACCAGCTACCAATTGTTGGGGGGGTTGGGAGATGCAGCGTGGCTGACTTTCCTGTCTCAGGCCGTCGTAGCGAAAACCCCGGCCCCTCGGAGCCGGGGTGATCCGCTTAGGCTAGCTCCAGTGTCGGCACCGGAATGCGGGTCGAGTGGAGCATCAATGACACGTCCATTTCTCCCTCAACTAAGCTGTGTTCATCATGTTGTTCTTGTCTACGAGGACGCACATCGCGAAAATAGCCTTCATCTCATGGTACTAATTTACTGACATATCAATGAGGCTGGTAGCGTGTATTTGCGCTAACCATGGTGGGTCATGCGAAGCCTTGATGAATGCTATCCTACACCTCCATGTTCTCCAAGATAATCTTATACTGTTTCCTCTGCTTCGGCGTCTTCAGTATGTGTTCCTTGAAAACCCCAGCAGCCCTAGCCAATTTTTGGAAAACGTACTTTTCCGAGGTCAAAGCTGCAGCCAAGTAAACGGCACCAAGCAAGATCATGAAAAGCTCAAAGTCCAAATTGGTATTCGTCAGTTGCATCAAACGCTTGACCGAATGCGCCGGAAAAAGAATCATGTAAAGAGTGATCAGGAGAGTCACCCCAACAGTCGCCAAGAAGGGCCCTTGCCAGAAAGATCAGCAAAATTCTAGTATGTGAGAGGTATCAAACATACAATTCTTCAATGCGCTCTCTCTGAAGGGAGGCCCTGCATTGAGGACCACGCCAGCTAAGATGTACTCAAAGCATGACACGAGAAATAATACGGTGTTTTCCGAGTTTTTGATGTTTGACTTCTCATGGTTGATACGTGGTGGGATGTACCTATCAGCGTGATTAGTGGTACAACTAGACATCAGTGGCTTCCATGAACTTACCACGGTTGCTCTCGCACGGCTACATAGACCATGGCTTGCACGGCGATGCAAATGGCCATTTGTCCCAACAAGGGTATGAGAACCTTGCGGGATACAAGATCCGCCGTCGGTCGTTTCTGTGACAAAGTGGGAAAGGGCCCAGCCCAGCTCACTATTGTTGCCAACATTAGCACGCACCAAGCTGGATCCATCGCCATCGCGATGAACTTACTGAAGACAGCAATTGGTAGGATAAGAAGCAGATCGATGAAAAGAAACTATGGCTGTCTTAGTCTTGAATATAAGAGAAGGGATCATCATTGACTCACCTGGAAATCGCCGAGGTTTGACGCTTTCGCGTAGAGAAAGCTGACCGATGTGAACTGAATCGCCGAGTAGAGACTCATATACTTGAAGCAGCTGAAGCTCGTTACGAGCGCAGCACGCCCTTCACTACACCGATGCGTCAGCAGTGTCCTTCCAGCGAGAAGGGTCTTGCGCATACCGGATGACCGTCGGTACACATCCGATGTCAAAGATACGAGATGTGAATGGAGCTGCAACGGAAGCTTCCGCTTCTGAGAGCGAAATGCCCACATCGGCAGCCTTCAGAGCGCCGCAATCATTTGCGCCGTCGCCGCAAAACCCACAGCAGTACCCAATGCCCTGTAGTTTCTCAACCAGTTCGTGCTTCTCATCAGGCGACATGCGCGCAAAAACTCTGCCGCGAACGAGCATCTGTGACTGTCAGCAAGTTATTTGGTAAGAACGTCTATCGTAATCACCCACCCTTTGAAGAATTATTGGAGGTGCAAAGTCTACGATCCAACGGAAAACCTCGCCAGTGACAGCCAGTGAGTAGTTGCGAATGTCGTTGATGTTGTACGCCAGCGATGCGTCGACATCTGCTGGTGGGGCCATGGGCTTCGCCACAGTAAGTAGGGGGAACATGGTGAAGGTCGCTCCGTGAGACTTACAAGTAGAGTCTGGTCACTTAAGTGGAAGTCGCTATTGTCGATGCTCTCCCATTGCAACCTTGCCTTGGGATCGCCAGCATGCCCTTCCATCTGTTAACTAGAATTCACCATGATACGGGTGCTTTACTCACCCTCAATGAATCTCGGGACGAAGCAGTGAGCAGTTTTGTTGACCAAGTTGCACTCACGGGCAACGCTGATGGCGGTAAGGATGTTGTCACCAGTCACCATTGTTGCGCTGATGTTGGAGTCGAAAAGTTCCGTCAACACCGACGCAGTGGTCGGTTTCAGCTTGTTTTCGAAAATGATGAAGCCGGTAAACTCCAAGTCTGACTCTGCCTCGTGTCTCTTCATTTTCTGTGCCTTGACCCAACTCATTTTGGGGATGTGGCGGGTTGCACACCCGATGACACGATATCCCTTATGCGTGTAGTTTGCAAGTTGTTCGTCGTAGTCGACAGGAACTGTTGCATCACGCATTAGTAACCAGACGGTCAATAATTGCAATTGTCATCGGTAATCCACTTACAGCTATCCTCTCGGCAAATCTCCCGCATGCACTCAGGGGCGCCTTTGACGTAGATGTCTCCACTTGGCTTTCCGAACTGCCTGACAATCACGCTCGCTCTTCGAAGCTGCGAAACAAATTCAAAAGATCTGAGGACTCCAAGTTCAAGAGGTGGCTGTTTGTGGAGGTCAGCCCCGCTTTGCTCAAACGACACCCATGATAACATACCGAGTGGTTATTTCCGTTTTGATCTCGTAGAGTATCAGAGTACTCCTCAGGCGGTCTAGCGACAGATGGTGCGAGGCTTCCCTGGTCCTGATCGTCCGCTTCGTTCAGGCTTTGCTTGCCCTCTTCAAAAGACCACCGAGTAAATTCGAACATCTTCAGATCAAGTGGATCCCCAACCAATTCGTCATCTACGACCCTTAGAGAGTGACAGGTCGCCATTGTGAAAAGAGCGGCCTTAAGCTTCGAATCTTGGGCAGCATCTCTACTTCGGTGGTTGCGACTTGGCACAAGAGTCGATGGGTCCGATAACACGTCTGTAAACTTGCCGGTCGCAGGCGATGCAACACGCACACCGAGAATGTCCAGCCCGTCTTCTGTCAAGGTTCCGGTTTTGTCGAAACACATGATATCCAACTTCCCCCCCACATTGACTCGCTGCGGACTGATACAGAATATCTGTTTCTTCTTGAGTCTGTTAAGTGCAAAATTGGTGCCAATTGTAAGAGTGGCCGGCAAAGCAGGGGGCACCACGATCGTTATCAAATCAAGGGCGCGCACGATGATTAGATGCCAAGCCAACTGCAACCGCAGGAAGTTGACAAGCGATGCAATAAAGCCGAGCATAGCCACCACAGCCATAACGCTTATATACCGGAAGGAATCCCGATAGAACTTGAAGCCTGATGGTTTGGGGAATAGCATGGATCGGACCAGAGAGCCCTTCGTGGTACTGAATCCTGTTCTGACAACCAGGGCAAGGGCCACAGCGTCGCCATCTCGATCCTCTTGTGGTCGACGAGCGCGGACAATCTTGGTCCCGCAGAATAAAAAGTGTTTCGCGATCTCTGGCGAGACTGTCGGCGCAGCCAAATCCAACTTATGCATAGTGTCATCCGTGGCAGGCGTTTTCGACACAGGGACAGACTCGCCTGGCAAACATTGTCAGTCATTTAGCAGGCTAAAGAATGCGTAATGGACTTACCGGTAAGCATGCTCTCATTGACAATGCAGTCACCGCTCAACAACAAGCCGTCACTGGGAAACTGGGTCAGGTTCGGATCGCTGACCTCATAGACATCACCGGGCACAAGTTCGCTTGAAGGCACGAAGCGCCCTCGTGGATCGTCAGTCTAGCTAAAGTTAAATATTCTGGCACAGCACTCACAGAATCCGTTCCGAAGCACTCTGACGTCACATTCAAAGCGCGAAATCTCCCGAAGGCGCTTCATGGTCTGTGCCAGTGAGCCATGGAACGCATCAATGCATGGTATGGGGAGCTTACCGCCCGGGTCTCGATGAGAGTTGTCGTGATACTACCAAATGACATCAAGAATATGGCGACAGCGTAGTAGTAGTACTCGTCCAGTGACCAAAGAATCAAGCTGGCTATCTGAAAGACATAGAACGGATGGAACACCTAAGCGTGTCAGTATCATGGCACGTCAAAGCCGACATTACGCACCTCGTCCACAAGAAGGCGTGGTATGGACTTCTGCTCGATGTCGATGAGGTTGTTACCGAATACAACCTCCCGGAGTCCTTTTTCGTCGCTATCTATGCCAACCCTGACAGCTCGAGGGTCGGTCCAATTGGGGTCGACCCATCCGTTGAACATGATGAACTTGTCTGTTTGCTGATTGAAATATAGGCGAACATAGCGGTAGTTGAGCATGCGAAGCTCGGTAATGATGGGATCGTAATCATCGTCCATCATATAGCCCTTCTCGCTAGAGCCGAAAATTGTTGACATTGGTCTCCCGTAGAGTTTCTTATCCACGTCCATAAGAGCGAACTCACCCCATTGGTTCTAGTCGAGTTAGATATAGAGCCCATCAGTGACCTGGGACGACTTACTTCGACAACCACCCAGTCGCATTCAGCCAATGGAGATGGACGCCCCAACAACCTGACTTGCCATCGAGGAAACCATCTCAGCAAAAGCCATGAGAGGCCGAGAGTACAAACGCAGAGGAGACCATAAGCGACAAAGCCCAAACGACTAGTCCGAAAGCCTGCGATGACGATCGTGAGGTCCTCGTTGACCATGTAGACCTTTTGACTGATTCGACCGTCTCCACCCAAGCTCTTGCTTGTGGTCGCACTGTCTCGGCGCAACAGCCTAGCATGAACGGAGGACCGCGAATGTGTCGATGACCTTCGGCGATGGGCCATGTAGTCATCATCACCTGCATCGCCACTTTCTATATCAAGATTGCTCTCGTCATCCTCGCCGAAGGTAAAATCACCGACGTCGGACATGCTTCGGCGTTCTTCATCGAATGTGGGGGAGGGCTCCAAATCATCTTCGTCTTGGTAGTAAGCAAAGCTCGTGGTAGAATCGGCGCGTGGTCTGCGGTGCGAGAAAGCAGAAACGCTGGTCGGGAGACTCTCGGCCATTGGTCCGGAGAAGAGCTGCAAAGGCAAGAAGTTTAGTTTCTGTTTGGTGGCGATGCTGCCAGGGAGCCTACCTCATCGTGGGCCATTTCAACCTCCTCAAATATGCTCGTGCTGCTCTGGTTGGAGTTGAGACGGTATAGGGGGGCATGGCCATTCGCTCTCGATGTCGAGGAGGCACGATGGTGCCCTTGATCCGGATCTTGATCCATGATGACGTTTGATGCGGGTTCAGGCTCAGCGTCACGCTGCCAGGTTTTGGTGTTTGCACTTCGAAAATAGAATAGACAGGAATCCGTCGAGCTACCCGGACACCGAGTGAGAAGAGACGATACTGTAGGCCGAGTGGAAGAGGCACATGGCAGCGGAACGAGAAAACGGTAGCTATGCGGTGGTCGACTCGGCGAAGCTTAGCCAAGTGCAGATGGATGTGAGGTGTCGCGAAGGACCCGGATGTTCGGCTTTGAGCGAATCGCGATATGGATGTCGAACGGTGGATGTCCGTAGAGGCGGCGCAACGCAGTTGTTGCGGCCGTGGACGAGCAGCGCCTATTGAATTGGGGTGAAAGCCTGAGTTGCACTTGGAAACTGAAAATAAAGAATGTTTTGCTGGTTAGCGCATTCCGAGCTGACTCCGTGCGATGATGGTCCGGCAAGGCAAGGTACATCGCCGCAGTGTCCGTACTGTGGTTGCACAAGGCGAGGCACCTGGGCAGCCGCCAGCGAATGGGACAGGTACCTTAGCAGGTAGGCAGGTACTTAAAGGTAGGTACCCTAGGGTGTCTTCCATTACCTGCCTTAGGTCCTCATCACTGATAAGACGTTCGGAAACCACAAAATAAGTCCTACAAGGGAGGGAACTGGAAGCTACCTACCTCCACAACCTGGGCTGGACCCCTCAATCCAGTGCAGACGACGGGAGACCAGGAAACAAATCCCTTGAGCGTGGCTACTATGTCCACCTAGGCACTTCAGGCACGGTGCCTATCGTTCAAACAGATTGTTTGCACTACACCTGGGCTGGAGGCAAGCGTGGACGTGGATGTGAACGTCCGCCTCAGTATCTCCACCCGACGCCAAACCACCTTACCTCCAAGGTAATTAGGTCCAGCTCAGTCCAGTGTTCATTACGTCGGCGTCCTGTCTCTCACTGTACCTTGATGACTTACGTATCTACCTACCTACATTGGGAGCTTTACATGCCTACTTTACCAAGAGGGATTGCTGCCGTTTGGCTTTGTCAACATAGTATCCGGGCGCTCCAAATGTTCCCAAGAGGTGCACACATTTCGCTCTTAGTTGTCTGACAGTGTCACGGCAATATCCAAATCACCAGGGTAAGGGCCGACTTCAAGATACACGACACCTTACCATGTCGAGACAGCCTGGCAGCTGGCCTATAAGAACTGGCCCCCATGTCCACCAGGACTGAGTCTCAAGAGTCTTTTTGCTTCACCGACACGGCTGGGCCGGGGTGTGCATTCGTAGTCTTTACCGCTTTCTGAGCCCTGAGTAGGTATCAACGTCTTGCCCCCGCAGGGAAAGGGGTAACCTCGAAGGATGAGGTTCAGATGATGGCTTGCGCTGCCAGGTAGTTGTGTTTACCTGGAACCTACTGAGGAAAGGCAACGGGTGCCTGGCCTGAGGCTTCAGCAAATGCCTGCCCAGCGCCTGGTACCCTACCCGCCAATGTTTTCACCCTGCCATACAAACCACCTTACCTCACTGTACTGCACCTACCTTAGGTGCCTTGGGTACGGATACTTGCCCACCTTACAAGGTAGGTAGGTAAGGTACCTTGCCTTACCTAAGTGGAGGATGGTCATCAGTAGAACAGGCCGCCATGTGATGTCCATTGGAGCCCGCCCGCTGTCGACTACCCCGTCCACTAGTCACTACCTTACTCTCTACTCGTGGAAGGCGCCTAGCAGCGGTACCCGCCCCAACGAACGAAGGACAAAGTCTGGCTCCTAGAATTTTTTTGCCAGTTGCCGCCCCCCACCAAACCCACCAAAATAAGACTTGACTGGGCATCTACAACTTCCCACCCTCGGCGTCTTCCTGTTTTTGCCCCGTCAATCCCAATCCCAATCCCCTTCGGTCTCGACAACCCTCACTCCATCGTCTCTTTCCACAGGCTTCAGAGTCGATCGCACATCATGGCTGAGCCTATTCGCAACAAGCGCCTCGACCCGGCCACTGCGCCGTAAGTATCTGACCTCCCCCACGGCTGCACTTTGTTCTGGGTGGCGACCCCTCGCTTCTCGCTCGCAGTGTTCGACGACAAAAAGTTGTGTCCTCGTGATGGCTAACGATCACCATCTGCCCTCAGTACGCCGCAGAATACCCCCCTTCAGAATGCGCCCATTTCCTCGCACGCCCAGCAGCCCGGCGTTGACAGCATCAAGGAGGGTATGTGCCCCTCTTCTGCCATTTGGCTTCGCCCATACCCCTCCATCGGATGATAACTAACTTGCAATTCTCCGTCATAGAGGATCTTGATCGCGCCGCCGCTGCCTCCATCTTCGCCCAAAACCCAAAGCTCGTTCAAATGATCCAGGGAAGACTTGGCTCCCTCGTCGGCCGTTCCTCCGGTTACATCGAGTCCCTCCCTCCTCAGGTGCGCCGCCGTGTCGCTGGCCTCAAGGGCATTCAGAAGGAGCACTCCAAGCTCGAGGCCGAATTCCAGGAGGAGGTTCTCCAGCTGGAGAAGAAGTACTTCGCCAAGTTCACTCCTCTCTACGAGAAGCGTGCCAAAATTGTGAACGGAGGCTCTGAGCCTTCCGAGGAAGAGATCAAGGCCGGCGAGGAGGAGGATGATGACGAGGAGCCCGAGGACGCCGAGAAGACGGATAAGTCTACCGAATCATCCGACGTCTCTGGTATCCCCGAGTTCTGGCTGTCTGCCATGAAGAACCAAATTTCTCTTGCCGAGATGATTACCGACCGTGATGAGGCCGCCCTGAAGCACCTCGTTGATATTCGCATGGAGTACCTCGACAAACCTGGTTTCCGCCTCATCTTCGAGTTTGCCGAGAACGAATTTTTCACGAACAAGACCATCACCAAAACCTACTTCTACCAGAGCGAGAGCGGCTACGGCGGTGACTTCATCTATGATCATGCCGAAGGTGACAAAATCGATTGGAAGGAAGGCAAGGATCTCACTGTTCGGATCGAGAGCAAGAAGCAGAGGAACAAGAGTGAGTTTGGAAGGCGCGTATCCGGAATACAAGAATCGGCCGCTGACCATTGTAACAGACACGAAGCAGACTCGTATCGTTAAGAAGACGGTTCCCACCGAGTCCTTCTTCAACTTCTTCTCGCCTCCTCAGGCCCCCACGGAGGAGGACGATGACGCCGCTTCTGACATCGAGGAGCGCCTTGAGCTTGACTACCAGCTTGGAGAGGACATCAAGGAGAAGCTCATCCCCCGTGCCATCGACTGGTTTACCGGCGAAGCTCTGGCCTTTGAGGAGTTGGACGATGATGACTTGGAGGGCGACTTCGACGACGAGGACGAGGACGACGACGACGATCTTAGCGAGGACCGTGACGAAGACGAAGAGTCTGAGGACGAGGTGAGTGCTACCGCGACTTTGATAGCCGAGCCCATGTCTGGCCTGCGTAACAGAGCTGACTATCGCGTACAGGACGATACCGGCAAACCTAAGCAGGAGGCGGCTGAGTGCAAGCAGAGCTGAGCGATGCAGGCATAAGTCACTTTTTGTTGATAGGTTCTTGGCATCCATGCTGATCGGGACTTGAGGAAAATGTGTTATTCCAACGAGTGCTTTCCGCACCCACAGAGGTGGCGATGTCTATACTGCGCGCCACCTCAGCATTACGAGGTTTGGGCCAAGCAGCAAACCACAGAAGGGTTCTGCTTGATAGATGGTAATTGACATTTCGGTCGCCGATTTTCTTTTTCTTCCGAGAGACACGGCTATTTACGTCCTGGCCATGAATGATGCTGTATGTTGCTGCTGAAACGGGGATCGTAGAACGGGTGTTTTCTGAGTTTGTTCTTCTTCTTTGTTATGTAACGGATAGGGGGCTGGCATTGGAGGTAGTAGAGACACACAAGTAAGCATGGGTCAATCGAGGGTCCCCAAAGTTTTATCCCGTGTGACTGTCAATCGGAGGGGTTCACCCAGCCCCCATAGTGCTCCAAACTGAATGGTCACTGGACGGCCAGATAGAGTACGGTGAGGAGAAGGCCATGGAGTTGAGCAAGGGATCTACGCCATGCTTAAGAAAGGCTGGGTCATTTGAAGTTGCTGTCGGCTGCGACTAAGAAGGAACCTCCGTGAGTTGTCGGGAGCGGAACTTGCGTTGCGGGAGGTTGGATCGGGCTGACAAGACAACACAAGCCTACCTTACCCAGTATGCTGGAAGTCGGGTGACGAATTTGCGGCTATGCATGGCGATTGGGCCTTGAATCGCCTCAGCAAAGTGGAACGACAAAATTGTCCGTAACCGGCACGTCGGGCCCAACAAGCATTAATACACGACATGTATCCGTAATGCGTTGACTGTTCTATTTCCAGTGACCCACGCAGAGCGGCTCTGGGCCGTTATGACGCTTCCGTGCCGGCGTTGGAGGGGTGCAAGATTTTTTCCCTCTTCCTCCCCTCTCTAGGTTTTTTTCGTCTCAGTGACTCAAGCACAAGTCGTGTCAAACAGCGGGAAATGGGACAAGGGCCGCGGTGAGGCGCCGGCGTACTGGACTCGGTGCCGTTCCCATGGCGTGCTTGCGATGGACCGACTGCCGGTAGAACTCCGCTGTCACAGTAGTCGGCATAGCACTGTATGAGTAACTCCCGGTACTTGATTCATGGCTCCTGACGCCGCGTATGCATGCACATGGCGCGTTCAGTTTCCACATCCGCACCGTATCAGATCCGTGTCCACACGTGGCGGTAGGATCCCGGAGACGAAATCCACTCTTCGGGGTCTGCCCTTTACTGTACCTTCCGCAATACGCATCTGCTAGCCCGCACCGAGCATCATCTCAGCTGGCTGCGGCTGCGATTGCGGATGCGCCTGTCCAGTCATAGTACGTAAAACACATCCATGGATGTGCTGTCGGGTACCGTGCTCATTACATAGCGCACGTAGGTACCTCTATGGCCATGGAATGCTCTCAGTCATCGTGTGCAGCCAGTAAAATGCTGCAACTTGCAGCGCTGAGGTAAGGTAAGGTAGGAGT